GATTGACCCTAAATACAGCTAAGGACCCCTGATCCTGGTGAGGATTCCTGCTGGCTGATCCTGGTGAGGATTCCTGCTGAATCAATGGGTCCTCAATGGATTCCTTTCTTCTATTCCTTTCCTTTATAGATTCTTATACTAAAGGAAAAATCTCTACCAATACTAAACAGTTGAAAACAGTCTTTTTTTCTATTCGAGGTCTTTCAGGGGGGGGGCCCCCTTACAAATCAGAGGTGGACATTATAAGCAATATGATAAGACAAGAAGTCCAAAAGTTATAAGCACGAACACCGGGATATTCATGTATAATTGCCAACCCAGCAAAATTCGGACTTGAGGCAGCAATCTACTCGGAGGTAGGCCAGTAGGTTGTCATGGTCAGCTCTACAGGGCCGGTTGGTCAGCTCAGGCATGGACAGCTTGCGCACCCGCTGGCATTGTGGTTGGCACCTGTGAAAATGCAAGAACATGAATTGGTCAAGAACGCGGTGTTCTTGAGCTCCGTGACCCGATATGAGTCCAAGGCATGTTTTCACGCCGTATGGCTGCGTCCCATCTCCTTCTCCACACTGTGGGTCACGCTAGCAGTGCACATCATTTGATTTGTGATGTGTCATGATGTGTCACACACGCCCTTGGAACCCATGAACAAGGCCAGGGATGAAAAGTAGGTGGGGCCCAACACCACGGCTCCTCAACCCACTTTCAAACCCAAAGGCCCCCAAGACTTGCATGGGTTTCTGTACTTTCTTCACCTCAAACCCAAAGGCCTCCCACCGTCCGTCCGTACCTCAGCTGCTGCCGCTGCCATCGCCAGCGTGTAGTCTCGCATGGACTGACCTCGTCGCCGAGAACGAACGGATCGGTCGGAGCTGCTCAGGCTCAGCCGTGCATGACCCGTTATTTATTGATACTACTGGTAACAAGTACCTCGCGAGTAGTAACAGGTGCCTCACTAGTAGTAACAAAAAGCTGTTAGAATTTAAGTTAAATTTAAGTTAAATTAATAGCTTCTTTGTTACTACTAGTAAGGCACTTGTTACTAGAAGCGATGCACTTGTTTCTACTAGAACCCGTTGGTTGTTTGAGAACCGTCCGCCACCTGGAAGCTTAAAAAGACCGTAGACTGTAGACTGTGGGGGGCCTGTTTTGCGGCACAGGATTTAAAGAGAAAACCCGTCCAATATTGCATTTATTAACCAAAGTTGTTTGGGTATTAGCTGTAAATAGAACTGAGACATGACTGAGCTACGCAACAGTTCTTGCATCTTCCCTTCTGCCATCGATATGCCCATCCCCACTTCCAGGCCCCTCACCTCCAGGTGCTGGCTGCAGGTGCGGCATCTGCTCTGCAATCACCTGTGCCCAGCCAGGCCGGGCCCCAAACCACCACCCCACCGCTGACTTCGGCCTCCGCGAGCCCAACGGAACCCGAGCTTCGGCCGCCAGAAAGGGCGGCGGTGCCGAAGCAAGGGTGCTTCAATCATGTTTTCTGGGAGTTCGCTCGTTTGGGTGCCCATTGGTGCCCTTGGTTCGGCCCGACTCCACGAGTGGAGTGACCGAACATCACCTCACCCGAAAGATCAAACAAGTCCAGACTTGGGCCAGTGGGGACGCCAGCTTCTCGGCCTTCTTAATGGTCGCCAGGTTTTCGGCCGAGTTCTCTTGCTCTACCTGACGGCGCGAGTGAGGGGCAGTTCGGAAGGAATGAGGCGTGGGAGCCTTGTGGAGCCTCCCAAACTATTGATTCTAGTCATTCCCGTCTCCTAAACAGAAGCTCTTGCAGGTCCCTCCCTTTTGGGACCAGGTCGTTGACCATGTCGTTCGGTGGTTCATGTTCGCAGTTGCCAATAATTATAAGCGCCAATGCCGTAGCCGAGAGCCACCAGACCAAGATTTCAGCTGCAAAAAGACTGTGCAACATGTATGCGCCCTGGTCCTGTCCCATAAGAAGGTCACTTCAAAAACTAACAGGAAAAAAGGAATGGTGAGCGAAAATTTTGGCCCATCGGTCATATAGACGGTTGAGAAAAAGGTTCAAGCCCATATGGTGAGAGGTTTTACAATCCAATCTGAGGCTTAGGAGGCCTTTCTTTAGATCATGAAAACCAGTACTTAGATGTCAATTAGATCCATGGCTCCACAGCCAGGCAGAAAAAATGCATGGCAGCCCAACAAAGGGTCATGAAAACCATCTATCTTCCATGTCCCCAGTGGCTGGATCCTTTCGCCGGTCGGGGGCCCCCAACCGGGGTCGCATCGCCGGTCACCTTGACCTCGGTGATTGGGCAAAGCGGTCGGTGATGTTGATGTCAGTGAAATCGAAGGAACATGAAGGAACGAACATCGAACTCCACTCACAGATTCACGACCCAAAAAATATATATAGATGACATGCAGTAGTAGAACTCTGTGGCTATTGCTCAGCCATCTGAGGGTCAGAGGCTGCTAGCTAAAAAAGTGCCTCACCAACAAACCAAAAAAGGAAAACAATGAGACTCCGCTGAGACTCCTCTGAGACTCCTGCTTTTCCCAATCCAGCCGGCAACCCCCAACCCTTGCAGCCACACCTGAGGCCGGAGCGTTTCGTGCCTGGGGGCGGCCTCCCTCCACGACGAGGTCGAACAGCACGGGCTCGCCGGGCAGCAAACCTGACCGCCGACGGCCAGTTCGATGAAAACCTACAACGCCAGTTCGATGCGTTAGACACTTCACCTGCACCGAAAGCTCTGTTCAGAAGCTGTGGTTCGTTGGACTTCAACCGCCTTAGCTATATCCTATAGTTGAAGTTCAACCACCCACTCCATGTCTCTCCGCGAAATCAGCCCTCAGCCCCCAAGAAAAAGAAACAAAAAAAACACCTGTCACACACGGAACTCGGTTTCCGCGTTTGGTTTCCCACCTATACGACCAATGAGGTGGGAGTTGTAGACAAAGACGTCCCGTGGGAACTCCGGGACCATGATGAAGCCAAAACCTCGGCACGCCACGCACGGAAGCAGCGCTTTTCGCGCTCCCAAGGCCGAGGAGGAGAAGCCGGCCTGGTTGGGCCCCTGGGTGGCTGCGGGACCAATACTAATATATACTAGCCGTTACCAACCTAGAATCAATTTGACCTCTGTGATCTGTGCTGATAGGAAGAGACCATGTTTTGGCTTCAATGCAGGGGTCACTCGGGTTCTCGGAACAGTTTACTAAGACTTGCCGTTTACAGAAAACGATGCGAGGCCGTCACAGTTGACAATGGCTGGTCCCACACTGGTGGTCTCAAGATTTGGAAGGCATCTGCATAGCTGGTCAAGGGGCGGTCCCCTTTTAAGAAGCTTTCAACTAGAAAACTTGCCACTGGCCGTCACTGGCCCACCTCTCCTCCATGTGTGCAAGATCCACATAATTCTGAGGTCTTGCCTCTTGTCACTCATGCACAGTTGGAGCAATCTACTTAACAGTACGTGTCACGATGATCTTCCGCAGAAAAAATGAACAAAAAGCACGGCCTCTGCCAGCACCGCCACGTCTCCACACGATGTCCACTCCGCTCAGGCACCGGGCCCTTCCGGGTGTTGTAGCTCTTCACACGTCCCATCACCCGCTGCCCCCTTGGTACATCGGATCGACCTTCGGCGACTGAGAAGCAAAGAAGTGCCTGCCGGAGGCTTCACCAAAATGACACTCTCTTTTGGGCAATTTGGCAAACCACCACCCCAGCCCGCCCAGCCAGGGCCCCCCGGCGAGGCCGCCGGCATCCGGCCAGCCGGCGCGCCGGGTGCTGCCGGCCGCGCG